AACTGAGCAGGCACCATTGAGATGTGAACATTTTTTAAATAAATTCCTTTTCACCATTTAAGCTGTATTTACCTCTAGCATTTCACACTCCATTTGGACACTGAAAATAGAGTAGCAGTTTCACTAATTATAGCCTGTTTCACTCATTAGTTCTCATGCACTTCCAGGATTGTATCTGAGTTGTAAGTGTAGGGGAATGTTTACAATCAACACCCAACACTTTGTCATCTTTTTTTCTTGAAAGGCTGAAAAACCATCGCTTTTCCAAAACCTGCATTCTGAAGCTGAACTGTAGGACTGTCTCCAGTTAACTCCATTTACAGAGAAGAAATGCCTTCTCCCCCCACAAAACTTCAGACTGATGTGCTGACCAAAACAGGCGCAACTTTCTATTAAGGCTTAAAAGTGAAGTACAAATCTTCAGGGGCCATCAAGCACAGCAACTACAAAAGCAAGTCAGCAGCTCCATTCCATGAAAAATGCCCAGAGATTTCCCCCCACCTTGGAACAATTATTCAAACTCAATCCCAGTAGCATTTCTACCTCACATTTCCGTTTGCCCAGTTTTATAATGGCGTGCTATATTCCACATTAATAAGTGTTATTCTGAGTAGGAGTTGCAATCTTCCTATGTTCATCAGCTGCAAAAGTAATTCCCTAATGCAATTTGCAAAGCCCCTGGTATCTGTGCACCATGAGTACCTATGGTAATTAAACCACGGCTTTTCAATTATATCTGCTGCCGCTGCCATGTACCAAAAACGTATCAATAAGGTCTTAACGTGAAACTTCACCCTACAGACCTTGCAAAAGCTCAAAACGCCTTAGTTTGACAGGATATTTTATTTTTAGGAGTCTAAGCTTTTTTGGTGTAGGCAGTGCAGCACCACACATGCACAGAACTTGCAGCACAGAGATGATTTTTAATAAGGTTTCATTATAACAGTCAATGATGGAACATCTTCTTGATTTGTTGTGATAAGACATGCAGGGATGAAGATGCCTGAAAGGGGACAAATGCCCACACAGAGTGATCACCTCATCTAAAACGCCGCACTTGTGCAGGGCTCATTTGCTATGAGAAATCCATCAAGCACTCTCTCAATTCTACAGATTAACGTACAAGGGACAGTATGAGAAATGACTTATTAGATTAACATTAACCCTCTTTCCCTACAAATTCCCAATGTCTTCTCTCCCCTGCTTCTCCCCCTCTATATTACCCAGTTGGAGGATCCGCACAGATAGCAAAGCAAAAACAAAGACAAAACTATTTGTTGGATCAACCTCTATTGATCAGCCTTAAGTGGGACTCCATCTGTCGAGCATTAACAGCTGCCCCACATACAGAAAAGAGGGAAAACAGTGCCCAGTGAATTTAGACAGAACACAAAACAAACCCAACTTCAGAAGTTGGAAATGCAGTTTTCATTCTCTTTATATTAATGGGCCATACAGAAATACCGCCTCAGGGCTCCTCCTTGCAAAACAGGTTCGTAAGTAAACAAGTCTAACAAGCAGTTTGCTGTCTATATTCAATTAAAACATGAAGGCAGGGTAGGAATCAATGCCCTCTGAAAAGAAACATGAAAGCCTGCACCATATACCTATCAATTGCCAATGCATTCTGTCCCTTGATTCAAATTGTTTTGAACTCTTAGGATTGCTCACCTAGTCACCTATATTAACACATTTCTCATAACATTTCAAGTCTTGAAAATGAAAATGAAATTACAAACAACTGCTACCTATGAAAAGCTCCAGTGTTAAATCATTTAAGCAACCCAAACTTAGCAGGGCTTGGAAATGCCAGCAATCTCTACGTGCTTCAATCCAGTTCAAAGAGAAACCTTCTGGGCTGCCTTTGTACAGTTTGTTGACCTTCTTGGCTTGCTGCAAGGCTTGGCTGTTTACCCAGATCCTCTCTCCCTCTCTTCTGCATTATTAAAAAGGGTGGATCAACAGAGAAGGGTTTTAACTGAGACAGGGTTGTCCTTATGATGGTCTCTTAAAATAGAAAAATCTCAAGTGGTAATGGGGAAAGGAATGCTTTGAGAGGGGGCTTGTTTGATTTCTTTTATTATGATGATTTTGATTGTTCATGTGCTTCAAAGCGATTAAAGGTGCACTGGTAATACGTCTGAAAAATAAAGGAAATGCTTGTCAACTCCCAAGCAGCTGTGGTTTCTGAAGTTTATAATTCACAGCAACTGAAGAGGTGATACTAAACTGCAAACCCTTTATAAGTTATATTACTATTTCAGTAACAGAGGTGACACATGAAGAGTAGGGAGAGCAGATGGGGTTAGAACATATGCAGATTAAAGTGCTAATCTCGCAAAGAAATCTGGGCAGACCTAAGCGTTCACCCATGCAGATCCCCAAGAAGGATCAGGGCAACGTAGCCTAAACTGGAAGGGAGAAGTCTGCCTGGAAGTCTAAGAGCTTCTGAAGGTACACTTATAGCTCCTTATGGGATGATAAATCCCATTGCATTTTATGCAGATGACTCAGCAAAGAAACTAGCATTTAAATTCTCAGCACAGGGAGATTCCCCCCCCCCCAAAAAAAAAGAATTTACTGAAAAGCAGGTTAAGTTTCCTAGAAAATGAGAGAGGGAGAGAGCATGCTTGCTTGTATGCATGTGTGTGTATATATATATATAAAATTTTAATTCTGGCATGCCTGCCCCTCAGCTGGTGAGGGTGTCAAAATAAATAGAAGGCAATATCTGGAAAAACGACAAACACATGGGTCAATGTCAAATGCAAGCCAACCGCCGTCAGGGCAAGCACCAAATTCCCGCATTTCAATTTCACTAATGTTCTCCAACTCGGATACCGCTAGCCCACTTCAAAACCAAACTGCTTCCTCTCCCTTTTTTCCCCCCTTTCTTCTTTTTTTTTTTTATTAAGAGTTTTTATAAAACTGATAGAGGAATTCAGATTAAAACAACTGTTTCAGCAATTTTCTCAGTTACAACAAGGCAAAGCATCTATCTATAATTATAATAAAGGGAACATTTAACAATTAATTGAGCCAGCAAAAGCTAAACCTCGGGAGTTTGGGAGTTCAAATGCTTGCTTGCTAAGCAAAAGGGCAGTGGATTTTAACATAACTGCAGGAAATCTCAGTCCAATTAGACGCTAGGTAAATATAATTTGGGTTCCACTGTGACTGGAATTCTATCTGATGCAGTCCAGTGGACAGACATTATAGCCAAGCCTAGAAATGCAAACAAAAGCTGACCAGCCATCTTCGGTTGTTTTCTCACTGGACCAGTGCAATAAGCCAACACCTCCAGGCTCCCAGAGCAAGCCAGAGCGGACCGCAGGCTATTTCATAAGGCTTGCTTTGAAAAATGACCACATAAACTATAAATCACAGAATATAGCAAAGTGGAAAATCTGTAAGATCTTGCTTTGACCCATCTAGTGACAACCATGTGGCAGTATTTCACAAGAGTACTTTTCTGACCTGCTAATTCAGCATCTCTCTGGTCGTCCGATGCCTGCCCAGACAATAGCTTAAGGGGTAATGCTTCCTCTTAAACAGCGCTTAGATTTCTTTTGTTAGATCTGGTTCCTTAACTGACGTCACCTATATCCTCAGAGGCAGTAGCACTCAAAATGTTCCACTCAAGTTACCTTCTCTCATAACAAGATCAAGGAAGACCTGCTTTCCAGTGCCATAAACATCATCCATGAGGTTTCATGGGCCACCACGAATTGCAAGCAGGTCCATTCTTGCAAGGTGCAAGCCAAGGCTAGCTAAGGGCCCAAGACTGTTGTTTCTCAGGAAATATGAAAAACGGGCTCCTGCCCATTATGGTCAGTAAGATGTTAGTTAGGGCATTTATGATGCCTGAAACCTGTTTTCTGATATTAGAACTATGATGCCGAGCTGCGGAACTGGTAGAGCTCTGGTTGAGAGAGAGATGCCTCAATCGACCAGACCACAGTCCTCCATTCAAGCAGCAACTTTCCTTGGATTATATTTTACTGATTCTCATGGGATCAGCAAAGAGTCATTTAGCAGTTTGTACTCTTACCTACACAATTTATACCAAGTGTTGCACTACTACATCCTTGATTATGCTAAAAATGGTATTTCATTCAGCATCTCTTCGATCTGGAGTTCAGATTTTGCATTATTCTAGGAATACCTACCAACAGTGACATCTCCTAGCACAAGCTCTGAGCTAACTCAACCCAAACGACCACAATGTCCTCAAAGATAACAGGCAGTGGGCAAAGGTGTTATTCTTCCCGTAGAAACACATTTACCACCTCCGTTACCATGCCTGCAGTTCTTCTGCTGCATTTGCTGTTGATGTAGTTCCTGATGTCATTGCTGGAATGGATCCTTACAAATCCTTTTAATCCTCGTAGATCCTGTTAAATGTTTCTGGATAGCTACAGCAAAACACTGCCCGCATTTCCAAGTGATATACAGAATAATTTGTTTTTCTGTTGATGGGTCTAAATGGACCATCATAGTCCAACCAAATTCTTATACTCATAACATGGCTACAACCCAGTCAGAGAAAAAACTCTTCCTTGTCAGGCGCCAAGTTTTTCTAAAAGCAGCATTCCCTTTTGACCTTCCAAGTGAGAAAAGGGACGCTTTTGGGATTCTTCTGTTTATCAAGACAGGTGTATAAGAGGTGTTCAGTTAAGAGACAGGCCCATCCAAAAGCTGGAAAAACATCCACAAACCTTTAGAAGTAAAAGGGCCTTCCACTTGCAATAGGAGCCACAAACTTTAATCAACAGCTTCTGCAATCCGATTTGGTTAGAACCCTGATCCCTTTCCACCCAAAGCCAAGCATGCTCAGAGGTCATCTGTCCGGAGACCCGAGGAAAATTAATTAGAAAGCTGAAGAACACACATGCAGGCATGTAACCACTACCATGCAGTAATTCACTCTGGATAGGTAACACTGAACGGGTTCGTTTACTGCAAGTAGACTAATTAGCCCTGCGGTAAAACATCACCATCTACACGGCGCTGTTAGGAGGGAGTAAACTAATTAACTCCACTGCAGTATAGTACTCCCAACCACAAGCACTATTCTATAGTGGAGTTATTTACTCCAGCACAGCGCACATGCAGACGCTGACAGGGGTGGCTGGGGCATGAGTGTGCTCCACTACTGCCTGCTGGCTAGCCCCACACTGAAGCACCCCCGTGCCCCAGCCAGCCTCTCTGCAGCATGTTGAGCCTGGTCAGAGCAGCCCCGGGCTGGCAGGCTAACCCCCGGGTCCCCCATCGGCCACAACTGTTCCACCCTGGCTCAACGGCCTGGGTGCATGTGCAAATGCAGCACAATAAACTCCAGCACAAACTGCACCAGAGTTTATTCAGCTGCATTAATTGAACAATGGAACTTCCTAGGAGCAGACACCGTGCCTAGTGCACAGTAACACTCCCACATGGTACAGTTACTTCACATTTTTCTAATGGTAACTTTATCATGGACTTGAATGATTTATTATGCGGCAGGGCTCTGCACGATGCATCTGCTCCACTTTGACTACATGGTAAAGCCAGTTTACTATACGGTGGATGTGTCGTGTGCTCCACCCCCTCAGCCAGAAGTCCAGAAGAGCAGCATGGCTATTTTTAATATCTTTTCAGTGTTCTTTTATGTCTGTGCCCTCTGGAAACAAGCAGCTAAATAAGAAGTTGCCAGACTTTCACACTCAGGTGAAGGGTATACCATCCAACTACTCATTTTCCATCACACGGTGCCCTCTTTTACCCATAGCAAAATCAGGAATATCACATTATAAATCAACTGCAGCTTCAAATTCTTCAAGAAAAAGACTCCAGAACCTAACATGGCAAACTTAAACCTATGACTTTCTCTGCTTATGAACTTACTGAGGCAATACACACATGATGACAGACTGGATACAAATAATCCCAGTAGGCATCTACCCCCTTCTAAGAAAAAAAGGGCAGCTGGTACAAGCTAGCAGCTGCTTTTCTGTTCCGTTCTCTCAACGAACAAGATAGTAAACTGCTATATATACTTAGGTAAACTGCCAAATGAAGTTCAACATATGCACACAGCCCTATTGCCTCTCCATACCCAGGGTTGGGCTTGTCTTTCCGCACCCAGTGTATTGCCAAAACAGTCTGAAGCACTGAAACATGGGAAAAAGAACAAACCAATCTGGGGAGCTGCCCTATGAAGTGCCAGCTGCTGATGTCCAATACAAAGGACAGCACGTGTTTTTCCTCATGAAGTAATGAACTTTGGGATGTCCTCCAGCAGAAAAACCAAGAGTTAAGACTGGCCGACTAACCAAAGTAAGGAGCGAGGAGGTCTGGCCCACACAGCAAAAAAAAAAAAAAAAAATCTATGTTTGAAGCTGCTTACAGTCTGCCAATCATGCAAGCAGAGCTGTTAAACTCTGAGTTTTAAACAAATTACACCCACACAAATAGGAACCATGTGTTAACCATATTGCACGTCGATGCAAACCGTATGGGAAAGTCAACCCTGTTAGAACATGGCTATGTCTAGGTAGATGTCTCATCTAGCTGGACTCAATCTGTGCTAGAAATGAAAGAAAAGGAAATATACATCTTTTAATTGGATAGGAAGGAAACAAAAAATAAATACATAATTTTCCAACCCTGATCAAGTCAACTTGTACCACCAATAGCCCACAGTGAAGAAGCCTGTAAGCAAATCTGGATGCACTCTCTGCAATAAATCATTTTGTTACCATGACCTTCACTTCAACAAAAAACAGGGTAATAGCTGCCAGGAAAAAAGAGAAAGTAAATTAGACAGGGAAAGGGGAGAAAATACAACAAGGTCAAACAAGTTTGTAGTATGGACTTGTGTATTTTCGAACAAAACACAAAGGCTAAACATCACATTCAGACTCAAGCAGCAGCACTTGAATATAGAAATGCTCTAGTCAAGATCAAGTATATAGATGTGTTCATTCAAATACTCAACAATAAGCTATACACTTATATAATCCCTTTCTTCCAAACAATAAATGTTAATTATTTCTGCCTGCCACCAGTGAAATGCAACTACTTCTGGGGTAAGACGACAGAAAAACAAACAGGTGGATAAGAGTCCTGAACAGCAGCAAGGTTGATTTTGGAAGAAGTGTTGGCCAAAGACACAGGAACTAACTGCCAGGAGAGCAGAATAAGAGTAACGGGATCTTCAACTACACTGATCGGAGCTGACTTTGGATAAAACAAAATTAAACTGCTTTCCTGAAAAGCGACTAACAGGAGGTTTAAGTTTGAAGATGCACATTAAAAGAGGTCACCCAAGTAATTTATACCCTTGTGATGCACTGCTTACTGTGGAAGGGTGTGGGCACCCAAATGAGTTACTGTGAGGTTTATTCATGGACATACTACAGTGTAGCTGTTGTGCCATAACTGCCGGCGTCTGCTTCTATCCTGTAAGTGCAAGGCAGCTCAACACCTTTCACTGGGCAAGGCGGCACAATACAACAGTGCAATTGCCACAAGCAGCCCAAATGCCTATGAATTTGCCCAACTATGTTCAACTCTTATGCAAATCAGAAGCTACCAAATAAAATGTTAATTTGCACTTAACCTTCTTTGTGACCATACAGTACGCGCTGGAAATATACCATTTAAGATGTGACAATCCAGTTAAGACGTTATTTACAATATCTTGCAGACAGCTAATCAGCTTTGAAGAGGGTAGCTAAGCTCATGCCTCTTCAGCAAGGGGATTTCTAGTGGTCTGAATTTCTACTGCTATGCAAAAACGTCACTGAAGCAAACAAGAGAGAGAGAGAGAGAGAGAGAGAGAGAGAGAGAGAGAGAGAGAGAGAGAGAGAGAGAGAGAGAGAGAGAGAGAGAGAGAGAGAGAGAGAGAGAGAGAGAGAGAGAGAGAGAGAGAGAGAGAGAGAGAGAGAGAGAGAGAGAGAGAGAGAGAGAGAGAGAGAGAGAGAGAGAGAGAGAGAGAGAGAGAGATGACCAAAGGGGCAAAAAAGACAAGTCATCAAAATGTGATCATTAGGAACTGTGTTTTATTTTAATTACTGAAAAGCAGACTTTGTTCAACTTATGCTATTCACATTACAAAACCAGAAGAATCTCTTAGGTAATCTTACAGCTACACTCTTCTGGGTCGCCTTTCATCAAGTAATCTCAGAGCAAGAGCAACCAAAATAAGCTTCATAACCTCCCTGGAAGGTTGGCTGGTACAGCACTTATCCTACAGAGACAATGGGCACAAAGACTTTCAGTCAACTTGCCCACACTGACATGGTGGAGACTGCTTCCGCTGCAAGGTGGTTTTCCTGACTCCGCACCTTTTGCCAGACCACGCGGCTTTTTCCAGATAATCACAATCTAAAAGTAATTGCTGTCCCAAGCACCCAAACTCCCTTAGAACTTGTTTTCCAACAGCCACCTCCCAAAATAATGTTCAATTAAGCATGGGGTTTTTTTATTTGTATGAGCAGACTGTTCTCTGACATTGTCAACCATGTGTGCTCCCAGGTGGCTAATAAGGTCTGACTGATGCTTGGCCAGAGCTGACAGGTCTCACTGCATGTGGGTTCTCTGATGATTCAAAAAGGTCTGTGCCATGATTGAAGCTTTTCCCACATTTGGTACATAAATAGCATTTCTCCCCACTGTGTGATCTCTGGTGAATAAGAAGGTACAAGCCCTAACTGAAGCTTTTGCTACATGCCAAACATAAATAAGATTTCTCTTCCAAGTAGATTCTCCTGCAGCGTATAAAGCATGAGCAATCGCTGATGCTTTTCCCACATTCACAGCCTTTATAGGCTTCTTGCTCCGGTGTGGATTCTCTGGTGAATACTGAGGTGCGAGTTCAAAATAATGCTTTTCCTAAATTCATTACATTCCTATGGCTTCTCTGAAATTAAAAAAAAAAAAAAAAAAA